TATATTGAAACTCGGACTTGTGGAATGTTTTGATTTCTACGCGCCCAATGTCAGTAAGTTCAGAGCGGAAACTCAAACAAAACGCATCAAAATATTTACAATTGTTTGAGTTACGAAACCAGATTTTGTTGTGAATGCAATGAGCTTATTTGAACGCTGGTTGCAGCTTTATTTACACACTGCCGGCGACCAGTTTGGTGTTACCTGTTCAGAGTTACCAGTTTGGAAACGGCCATTTCGTGACGCATCTTGTTTTGGGACTTTGGGGATTCACTCCACAGCGTCATCGGCGGACCTCGCCTTGTTTTTAATCGGAAACAACAAGTGATACTACCGAAATCCGTACTTTAGAGAGGGGCTAACGGCAGCTCGGGCATGATAAGTAGTTGGACTTTTGCCACAACCGATCGAAACCAGCTTAAACCTGTTGATTCTTGGCTCGGCTGACGTGCCTGGCGCTTGGTTTAATGGCCACAATCGCGTTTGCCTGTTTGTGGCCATCTGAAAATATGTAGAAATCGTCAGGGGATTTCTCTTGACCCCACAAATTGGTTAACGCCACCTGAATTAAGTTCTCTTGACAGATCAAATTGACAGCTGGCCAAACAAATTGGCAACCTTCAACACACTGATGCTAAGTTTAATTCACAGGCGATAATGTTATTCTGGCCAATTACCCCGATGCCGTTGACTCCTGTCCGCATATTTCAATGCCATGGAAATTATTTTTCCATTAGCCCGACATCTGCAAGCATTTTCCCCCCGTTCCCCATTTAAACCTCTTTCCAATAGCCGCAATTCAGTTTTGCTATAAATAAGTTATACTGCACAGCCATATTTCTCGGCGAAAATTCCGCAACTAAATTGCCACGTACATATATAGGGGCTAAATGGGTCTATAAATATTGAATTGCATTAAATCAACCGGGCGATTCGAGTGGGAATTCGGAATCTATTTGCGGATTATGTTTAAGGGGTTATTCCCGGATGAGCATATGGAAATTCCAATAGCTACAAAATATCTGCAGAACAAATTTAAGAATTTAATTAAAACATTCATATGGAATTTTCATAACGCAGTCCCATTTTTCAAGTGGAACAAGAGTTCATTTGCCCATTGCAATTAATTACAAGCATACAGAATCAAATGGCGTCGAAAACAAACTATAGAAATGCTTAACGCGTGCCCGCAAGTTATGTCTGACCATAAATGCATAAAAGCCAATCAATTTCAGCAATAAATTTGTACAACCAACGCCAATCAAATAGGAAAACACAATAAAACATGGGGAAAACAAGTCGAGACGTCGAGAAATTCTGGCAGATGATCTTCGGGCGACTTGGCCTCCTATATGTACAAGTGAATCGAGTGAATCCACTGACTCAATTAGCTAAATTAGCGACAAGTTAGCACTGACAACTAGCTGGCTGAGTACCACAAAAAAAATGGCAAATTGAAAAGCGACTCGTATCCCAATTGCCGCCTAATTGATTTGCATGCCAGCTGAAAACGAGTATCCACACGGAAAATAACAACATAAAACTGGACCGCCGACTAATGAAAACGAAAGGCGATCCGCTGGATGGGTGGCGTCAATTGGAATCATTCAGTTCGGTTCGCCCGACTGACCTCTCCGCCGCCTCATCAGTATTCCGCATCATCATCATCTGCCTGCCAGTTGGGCCAATAACAATGATATTACGAGTACGAATACGAGTACGAGTACTTCCCGCCTGGCGACAGAGCTCTCGTTTTACCCGGAATGAGAGATGATAAGGAGGCGTAGTTGTTATTATTTGTGAAATGCTAAATGCTGAAATTCTAAAAACCCTTATCAGTGGCCGGGTTCAGTGCGTCACTGGCCAAATCGGGAGCTGAGGGCAGGTAGAGAAGCCAGAAGGTAACTTCCCCAGTAGGGAAACCTATTTATAGATTGCGCATACGCCCGGTGTGACACTGTGACAGTGTTTGATTACTTTGCATTCCCCGATTTCATTCATGACTTGCCCCTCGGTGAGTAAGTGCAAGGTCTCTGGCCAGGGTGGTTCCCTTACTACCCTTACTACCCTTTCTGCAGATATCACATATCTATATTGGTTGAAAGTCCATCTGTGGCGCAACGAATGGTTGGCGGGGTGGAACATTCCCACTTCCGCTGCGGCTGTTCCGCGCATTTTCTATTTAATTTTCCGCCGTGCATTGTCAATGCCGCCTTCGTTGCATTGAAATTGATTGCATTTACCTTTATTGCATTGGGCTATTGCACATTATCAAGTTCGCATTTTGCGATAGTGGTTATTTAAGATTCCAAGTACCCGATTATCTCTTCCAAGTGGGGGACTTACGTGTTTTGTGGCCGGCACGTGGATATGAACCCTTTTAGCCACACTTCTCAATGGCCCATGACATTCAAATCAACGGCCAAGTGCTCGCGAGACAGTTATTTATTGCCTCGGCTATGGAGTGAACAATCTGCCATAAACAAGAGCCATACTTTATGATGGCCAGGTGGAAAACAGTTCCAAGCAGCCATAAATGGACGACCACAAAAAAATTAGCGATTGAGTGGCGGATCCGCTGGTTATTCCCACGCCCACTAATCTCTTTTTTATCCCGATTTCGCTCGTTCCAGGTATCGAGGAGGTGCCGGTCAAGTCGGTGGTCAACCGCGTGGGTCACCAGCTGAAGAAGGCCCTTTCCGAGAAGGGCATGGCACTGCTGGTCAACCATGGCATATCAGACGAGAAGGTAAGACTAAGGGATATTTAAGAATAAAGATTTAAATGAAATATATGGGTTCAGTTTGTTAGTAATTTAAAGGGAAAAACTATTACTATTAATATACAATATAAATAATAATAGTTCACATACGTTATATTTAAATACCACTTCCATAAAACCAATTCCCTTGAAAACGATCTCCAAAGAACATTAAAATGTTTTGGTTACCCAATCAAGAAACTTTTATCTCAGATTTTACCTTAAAAAAAAGTGTAACGTCATAACTTGACCAGGTGTCTTAATCTAAAATCTCAGTATGAAAATATATATGCTTTTCATATCAGTAGTTGAAATTAATAGCTTCTATTCCAGGGGGAACCCTATCTCCTTAGAGATTAAACAATAATACAATTTCAAGGTTAATGGTGGCGTATTTCCAAGAATCAGAGAAGATAAAGAGAGAATTTAGTTGACCATTTTAAATGTAGGTGGTAAATCTCCAAAAGCATTATTACTTAATCTGAATAAAATATTTTATTTGAAAAGCCACATTAGATTTCAGTTAAATACACATTAAGTGACAACATGAAACCATCTAATCGGTATTTCCTCTTTCCCCTGGAACAGCTCAAGACTGCCTGGGATCACCTGGATGACTTCGTGGACCTGCCACCCGATGTGAGGCAGCATTACATCCGCGCCGAGGGCGACAAGCATGGCTACGTGAGTCGCGGTCAGCAGCGCTTCGATGGCAAGGCCCCGGAGCTCCGGCACGCCTTCAACATCAGCACACTGAACGCCCAGAATCTGCCCGAGGAGCCGCTGCCGGGATTCGCGGACCACATAAGCACCCTGGCCACGGACTTCAAGGCGCTGGCCAGCTTCATCCTGCAGGCGCTGGCCGTCTCCCTGGACATTCCGCACACCTTCTTCCTCGAAAAGCACTCGCACATGCTGTCCGGCGACCATGACAACATGAGCTCCCTGCGCATGCTCTACTATCCGCCCATCGTGGACGACGAGCCCGGCCAGAACGATGTGATTAAGGGCCGCTGCCAGTACAGCTACCAGCGCTGTCTGTCCAACCAGCCGGACTTCCGGCCGGAACACAATCCCCGCGACGAGGACGACCTCAACGAGGTGGACGGTCCCAATGGCCAGCTGTTCGAGCACAAGCTGGGCAGCGGAGCCGTCATCCATGTCCACCCCACGTGGACTACGGCACCTTCACCCTGCTCTCCCAGGACTCGGAGGGCGGTCTGGAGGTGAGGCTGCCCGGCAGCGAGAAGTGGAACCGCGTGGGTCACCTGCCCGGCTCTATTCTCGTCAACTGCGGCGAGATCTTGAACATCTGGACACAGGGGCGATATCCCGCACTGGTGAGTAGCTAATTAATTTATGAGGCCATATTAAAGACCCCCTTGATAAGAAAGTATGCCCAATTTTCAAGTTCATATTTTCAAAGATTACAATTTGGTGGTATTTGTTCTTACCAAAGTATCTGTAAAACTGTTTTTTTATCAGACCTAATCTGCTGTTCTTTTAAATACAGCAGAAAATATAAATATCCAACAATACCAGCTATAAATTTGATTCGGCAAAAATTATTTAATATTCGTATGAGATAAGTTATAAAGCGATTTTTGTATGGAACTCAGCTTGATATATGACTAAATAACAAGTTAATTTCCTTATTGCTTGTTGTCAATATAAGGATAGTTAAAACCATAAATAAACTAGATTTCAAGTTGGTGTAGTCCCATAAACCCTATACTATTGATGAAAACCTCTCTAATCCATTTTATTATCCCCCCAGCAACACCGTGTGATTATACCCGAGCAGGAAACGATTCGGGCCCGAGGTCGGCACTCTATAGCGTTCTTCTGCCACCCGGACAACATAACCATGATATCACCCACCGATCTGCCCAATCCAGATGCCGCCCAGGACAAGGCGTGTCTCAAGCAGCGCAAGAAGTCCTTCAAGGCGGCGAAAGAAAGGTGAATTACCACTCTGGTTTTATTACCATTTCCTGTACTAAATCGATTTGCTTTATTACTTTTTTTGGCTTATCACCGACGATTGGCGGCCGTAAATTCAACAGAGTCTACAATGCATATCAGTTAATACAGAAGAAGTTTAGAGATACGTATAGCAGTAACAACCACTCATAACGACCATAACCCGTCGGGCCATCCATCGCATCTCTACCTGAACTGGAATGGAGTTCGTCGTGGGAACGGATGGGATGGGGAAAATGAAAGGCAGCAACTCATATGATGTTTTGAACCTTTTTATTATTACCTTTACTTTTATTCCATACGATTGTAATTGCTTCATTTCATTAATTTATATGTATCGAGATACTATATACAATACATGCATACACCGTAAACATATCCCTTTGTATAATAAATATATATGTATAATTTAATATAGTTTCCACTGAAAAACGCACATGTTAACATTTACTTAAGTCGAGGGGTATCGCCTAATGTTTTGCTGTTCGTGAAACTTGGAAGGTATCTGAGTACAATTCCGAAATTGACCGACAATCGACCACAAGATCCGTGCTAGTTGTTTTTTCCTTTTTTTGTGGTTTTGTAAATATTTTTCACAAGTTAATTAACATTTTCCTCTTGCTGTCACTTTTATTTGCATTTTATATTTAATGCCATGTGGCCGAGTTACGCATGAATATATGAGTTTCGCATTAATTTTTCATTACCTCAATGTGGTCTGATTTTAAAATTCTCTTTTATTTATTTTTTGCTTAACATGGCATTGACTTAACTATACACATGCATAATACGTACAATATTCAACAATTATTTGACTACCATTATTTTTAGACACTCAGTTTGTATTTCTGTTACAAAATAAGCTTCAGCTCAGCGTTTCTGTTGGACATTTAATTTGTTTTGGCTTCGAATGTTTTGAGTGCATCTGAATCGGTAATTTCATTTGAACATTGAGCCTCTTTCAGCTATAAATGGTTATGTCTTAGGTACCTTGTATCTCTACTCGCATCGTAAAAAACGAAATAAAATGAATCAGTCATATAAGAATACAGTCGCTGGCAGAAGTAATTTCACAAGTCATTGTCACCCAGAGGATGTGGGGATTTATCTGGAATGTGCGTGAATTGTCAAATTAACTGGGATTGCATCATGGAATGACTCGTCAGCATACTTTTACAGGCGACTGTAATCGTCGTGAGCTTTACCTAATTGCCATAATTTAATTATTTACTTTTCGACACTAACGCGAACTGTTTAGTTTGTTTTTATTCGAGAATCACATGCTCCCATGAGTTGACATTCCAATTTGCGGTTAAACTAAATCGTATTTTTGTTAATTATGGCTGTTTTGTTATTGACGCTGTGATCCAGGTGGTTTACGGACACGTGCCATACTTTCCGAAAAACACCCTAGTTTATAGGGGTATCAGGGCTATTGAAGTGAGGAGATACATATTCATAGAGATCTTTGAAATGCTGATGCTGAATACATTTTTAAAGTAATACAACTTAAAAATCTATGTGTATTTATATTTAATAACCATATTTCGTAAGTAAATTATAAATGGTTTAATTATTTTTGTAACACTTCGACCAATCCTAACTTTGTTCGATTCAACTCAGCGGTACTTGAAGATATATACTCTTACTTCCTCATTCAACGGATGCACCTTCTACTAAAGTTCAATGCACCTGGAAACACTTGTGGCAACAAAGAAATCACTTTTGTAACCAGAAATAAATATTATAAAGTTATTTTAGTCGATGCAAAACTGTTTTAACTTTAAAGAGCATTCGTGTTTTGTACTTCAGCTTCTTATCGTTCGACGTTAATTTAGTTAACAATATTTGGCTACATTTCAAATGTTATCAACGCTGCTGACTGCCAACTTTTTGTGGGCGTTCCGCAGTTTAAACAAAGCGTCGAGAGTTAAATAAAGCAAATATTGACACGCCCACTGGAGGGCGGGGAGAAGTAGGGTGTAGTAGGGGTAGTCACGCCGACAGAGACGGCAGATGCTCATTTGTCGCCGGCGGTGAGCTCTTAAGCCGGCGCTTTAAATAATGACTGTGAATCGTAAGAAAAAGTCAGCGTTTTATATATGTCGTATATATATTTTCTGCAAACAATTTAGCCAGCTTTCCTCTAAAAACACCTTTGATTTATGGGCGCAATTGCGGTGACAAATTCGGCGAGGGGCGTGGCAGTTACTGATAACTTCTCTTATATCTCCTACTCAACTAATTTCGAGTCGAAAGCGAAAGTCAACTAAACAGGCTTGGAGTCTGGAGATTTAGTTTATTGTGCTTCGTTAAGATTGTCCAGGCAAGAGAATAGCTTATAGGAATTAGTCACACTTGCTCAAAAGATTACAAAACAGTTCCATGAATGTCGGTTGCATCTATTTGCAGAGAGGGAGGTACTCATGTACTTAGCTACAGGTATAGTTCGTATATAATATATAGCTCTAGAGCGCTAACTTGACTACAACAACAATGTGGGACTCAAAGTCGGGAAACATCAAAGTTGAGGCTAAAAGACCCAATGGATATGTAAGTCGTGCTTTAGCTTCTATGAATTTCTTTGTTTGGTTATGTATTATGACATATATAATTTGATTTTGGTTTAATGAACTAGATTATTTTAATGTCGAACGAATCGAATGAACTTTCTCATTGCTTTTAAAGATGAGAGAATATGAGTAATACAAAAAATAATAACACGTTCCTAACTTAGTTGTAGGTAACTAACAATAGATTCAAGACCTGGTTGAGTGCTTTGAATATTTACAAAATGTTAATTCAAATTGGTCACTGATTACTGGCCATTCTTTATTCGCTAATCGAATAAAAGGTACAACAATATTTAAGAAATTTTCAACTTTAATTTAAACAAACATATGAAGTCAAACATTTTTCATGCGAACATAACAGATATTTTGCACAAAAAACTCTGCAACCAGACCTTTCACCTACAGAGTAATTCTAGCTTTTATTTACTTTTACTTAGAGTATTAATTCAATCCATGCATATCTCATATTTATTTTTTTTTGGGTTAACATCTCGCTTTTTATATACGTATATCAAACATTCAATTCATATATCTATTGTTGCATGCGCATTTATAAACATCTCTTTATGAAATTTCTGACTCCATGACACGTAAATATGTATGTCGTAATATTTTTATTTGTATTTCAATTCATTTTGCACGTCAATTTGCTGTTGTTGAAGGCTTTCTATAATCTGTGGGATTGTCGTATTGTTGCTGTTGCTTTAGCTGTTTTATTTGTGGTTAAATTCTTTTTAGCCCTCTTAGCAGCCATTTTGAGGAATGTTTTTTCCACCTATCGGGCAAATTTATTTGTAAGCTGGCAATCTGGTTTCTGGAGAACACTTGGAGTGCACTGAGCACTCATGAACAGACGTTGTGAAGCACAGGAGTTGAGATCAAGTGTGTACGCCATGGGTGTAGTAGTAGGTCTAGTTGGTGTAGAGGGGGTGCAGCTGCTGCATCTGGGCGTCCGTGGTGGGGGTGACATTGACGGCATACTGGCGGGCCCGCATCACGCTCATGTGAATCTCCGACGAGGCCGTCGAGTTGATGCAGTTGGGCAGCTCAGCGGATCCGGAACCGGCGCGGGCTCCATTGGTTCCCCGTCGACTGGGACCGCCGAACTCCAGATCTCGGTCGTCGTCCCGCCCCTGTTGCGCCGACAGAAGTAAAAGGCGTAGGGAAAGAGGCTCTGCGGGTAGAAAACAGGACCATACTATTAGTGGATCCACAAAGTCTCGCCTATTTCCGTTAGAGTACGCTATGTAACTTAATAGAGTTAGCTCGCTACTGTACAGCACTCAGAGGTTAAGCATACCCGCGTGGGACGGGCGACAATCGACTGGGAGGGGGTGGTGGGTTCTTGGGTGGGTTCTTTGGTTTGGTGGCGGCACATGTCTGTGACAATTTGGTTTCACACACAAAAAACAAAGGCCATAGGGAGACAGGGAAAAAAAGTACAAAAAATAGTCACACACACACACAAAAAATGCTAAACGAAATGAAAGGCCGCGCATTCGTATGAAAAAAAAGGGACGAACAAGGACCCGTCCGTGTGCCAGTGTGTCTTGGTGTTTGTGTTTTGCCGGTGGTGTGTCAAAGTGTGCAGCATAAAAGGGAGAATTTTTAGAGAAAGAATAACATTTCATCATCAGCATTTACGCTTGTGTGGAGAAGGTGTGGGTTTGTGGTTATAAGAGTGAGAGAGTGAGGCATACATATAGAGAAGAGGTTCAGTTTTAATTTAAATATTACGTTTTATGCTTTCTGTTTTCTGTTGCATACTTTGGCGCGCTTAGCTTTTGTCGGGCCATAGGCAACGAAGCAGCACAGTAAGCGCCAGCTGTGCGTGGAAAAGAGAGATGGTAGATGGTTCGAGTAGTAGATGGTACTATATACGTGGCAAGTGGTAAGCAGAATGTTCAAGCGATTGAAAGGCCCACTCGGGGACCGGCCCGAAAAAAACCCGTCCCGCATGAAACTGATAGAGAGACAGAAGGCAGGCGCAGGCAGAGCAGTAGAGCATTAGAGCAAAGAACGTGCAGAGTTTTCAGTCCTTCAGGCAGTGGAAAGCTATTTTTCTTGCTTAGCAACCAGTAGATGAAGCATTTCAATCAGCTAATATGAACGCTACGCTTTCTACACTCTCCGCTGAACACAGGACTGCACAGAGAAAAAACACGGCATACTTTTCTTATAGGTATCTCAGAATTTTTGTATTGAAGGAACTGCTTTAAAAATATTGCTGACAAGATTAAACAAACATTGCCAATATTGAATGAATTGAAATGAAAAATATTATACATAGTAATTGTAAAATGCATTTAAGATTTCAAGGGAGCACTCATCTTGCTATTAAATATACTTATATTTTTAAACTATTCAAGAATGTCTTAAAAAGTTTCGTAACAAAATGTCTCCTTTTAAATTTAATTTTAATATTAGCCTATTTATTTTATTAGATGTTTGTTCTCTGTGCATCCGCGATGCCAATAGCTACCAAAATAAACGCTAAACGTGAGCCTCTTCGGTTGGACGCTGCTGTTGCCGCGGCCGTGTTGCCAGTTGGTATTGCCGCCGATATTGTTGCCGCTGCCGCCTCTGTGCATGGGGTGGTTTGGGTGGCGGTGGCCCTGTCCTTTGCGATTGCAGCGGTTACGGAAGCCCTGTACTAAGTCTAAAGGTGGTGCAGAGTATTCAGTTTTGGATGCCCGAACAAAGCGAAATTGAATAGAATAAAAGTCCCATCAAGATGTCGAAGTCGAAAATAAATGCAAATTACTCGATGGCCAGCCCGCAACTCACCTTGAGGGTCTTCTTGAAGGCGGCCCTGAAGTCGCGGTTGAAGTATGCATAAATAATGGGGTTCAGGGCCGAGTTGAAGTAGCCGATCCAAAACAGGATGCCGACGAGGAGGCGCGGAGTGATGCAGCTATCGCACAGCGAGGATACAATGTACCTGGCATTCAATTAGGGATGAGTGGAGGGTGAGAAGGGTTAGTTTCCTTTTTGAATTTATAGTTAAGCTTACTAAATTATAATTTTTTAAAGTACGGAAATAAACAACTTTAAGCTTTAGTCTTAGTTTCATTTAGTCTTAAATATTCTTTCTTAATATATTTTTTGTCGAAAAACTTGATATTCTAATATACTGAATATCAAAAATATTCTCTGAACATTTTAAACTCTTTCAAAATCGTCAAAAATACGATTATATTAAAATACTGCATTTTCTGATCAAAAACAAATGTCTACCGATGAACTACTATATTCAAAGACTTTACATAAGAATCAAGGAATAACGATTCAAAAATGAGTATTAAAGGAAAAGTTGTAACTTTTCGGTCCCTGCTTATATTATCCTAATAATACGGTTAAGTTTCTTGCAAGTATATTATATTTTAGTTAGTAAGCCCTCCACTTTAAAGCTTATTAGATGGACCATTTTAGGCAGGTTTTACCATCTGTTCATAATAAGTCAGACTTAATTAAAAGCCCACCAACACCGCGCCTTAGAATATAAGCCATATTTACGCCCAATTTGGGCCATCAAGTATACGCACCAGAGGAAGAAGGGCAGCCAGCAGATGAGGAAGGCGCTCATGATGATGCCCAGGGTGCGGGCGGCCTTCCGCTCCCGCCGCATTGTCGAGATGGTCGACTGCTCCACCTGGATGCTCGGCCGCGGCTTGGGAATTTGGCTAATCTGCAGATGCTTCTCGAGCAGCAGGGCGGCCACCTTGGATCTACACACAAGTAATTAGCGTTAATTGGGCTGGCCAAATGAATGGGCCACTTTCGAATGGCCGGTGGTTACCTGTAGACCAGGCGCTCCTGCCGGTCGGCCTCCTGGTAAATGCGGTAGTACATCGACAGCATCACGATGCCGGGGATCCAGAAGCTCATCGACGAGCTGACTATGGCGTACGCCTTGTTCACTTTGAATTCACATATCTGAAACGGGAAATTGGCATCCCAATCGAAATCGCAGTCGATGGGCAACTCAATTAGCGACTATCAATAAATCAAAATGGACACTGAACAATGGCCGAATGCCAGTGGCGAACCCTAATGGAGCGTAATGCTCGGCAATTGCCAACGTTGCGTATGGCGATGGCAATGGCAATGGCGATGCGATTACTGCACTGCAATGCCAAGTGCGACTATAAAAACTCAATTACACTGTGCATTACGGCGATGGCATGACAAAAGGCCACCAGAAGACATCTAATCAGATTTACGACCAGTACGCTCTGTCTCCTGCTTGACGGTTATTAGCATAAACAAGTAAAACTAATTAAAGCCCTACCACTCGCGGTTGCTAATGTATGCAAAGGGCCTGCCAGGTGGTGGGTGGGATTGGTGGGGAAAGACCAAAAATTATGCACAGCCTGCCTTCAAACCGGAATGGAATTACCTACATTTATTTCTACATCAGCATTTTATTGCGCAATGATAACCACCGTATTGGAGTGGAGCAGCAGCTGCTGACGGGCTAGCAATATATATATATATCTACATGTAGATCCCCCGTAGGAGCTGCCAAGTATTTGCCGGGAAAACCAATAAAATGGGGTAATAAATATGCTACCTGTCGGCTGGCAGCCTGAAAGGCGTAAAACTGCTTCAGCCCCACAAACATAAATCAATTTCCGTTGAGGCGGGTCGGGGAAAAGTCAAAGGCTGCCGCACAGACGCCCACGTGGCTGGGATGGCATGCAAAATGCATGCAAAGTCGATACCGTTTCAACTAAATTAGAATTTTCTATAGTTTGATGTGCTAGCAAATTGAATAAATAATGCAAGCCCACCGGGGCGAAACAAATCAACCCAAACAAATCTGATGGGGGCAGACCTTAATGTAGGACATCGCATTAATGGTATATTTAATTGTCCAATTAAATGCATTAAGCGGGCAGGGGCTTAAATGGGCTACTCACATGCGGATTCGATTTGAGATACTTGTAGTTCTCGGTCGTTGTGTACCACCCTGAGCAGATGGGCAGAAACGAGAGAAGCGCTGGGGAAAGCCACACCATCAGGAGCATGATGAACACGCGCCGCTGCGTCATGATTAAGGGATAGTCCAGCGGCTGGACGATGGCGTAGTATCTATAGGAAAGTGGAAATAGGAAGTTAGAAATGGGAATAATATATCTAAAAACTTCTACTATCCTCTTTTTATATCTATTTATCAAAAGGGTCTAGAAAAACTTACAAAGGTGGCAAAAGTATGCAACGAAAAATTACCGTCTATATCGAAATGATTCCATGACTGTTTTGGGCTGAAAGCTTATTGTAGCACACATTTAGGCACATACATAAAAGATTTCAAAAGCCTCGTATATCGAATTTAATTGAACTTAAAAACTTAACTGAATAAATTGTAGTAAAATTTAAATACTACGGTTTTTTCAAGTATGCACAGAAAACAGTCTTACTTCTAAAATAATCCGTAGCATTTGTGGATTACAAAAGTGTTGTAGCATACTTTTAGGTACCTTAATAAAATATTCCACTACCATCTCATATTAAAAAGTATAATAAAGAACTCAAATAAAGTCAATTCAAAACAGAAATATTATATTCCATGCCTTGCCTGCATAAATGTATAAATTATCATCATCATTTTTACGATATTAAGGTATGGGTAATGCATTTATTAAATATCGTATACTTTTTCCTTTGCGGGCGGGTCTTAAATTAATTAGCAGTACAGACTCACCTATCCACGGAGATGCAGCAGAGATGCATGATGCTGGCGGTGGAGAAGTAGACGTCGAAGCTGTTCCACATGTCGCACATCACCGATCCGAACATCCACTTGCCCGAGATCATGACGGAAGCATTAAATGTCATCGCACAGAGGGCCACCAGCATGTCGGCGACGGCCAGCGAGACCACAAAGTAGTTGGTAATGATGCTGCAATCCAAGGCAGGAGGAGTAAAGTAAGAGTAAAAGCTGGTATAAGTCTAAGCAGGAACCAAGGCGGAAGCCGCACAGCCAGCCACTAAGAGGAGGAAGCCTGAGTGCCAGTGGAATCGAGATTGCCGAGTTCTCAAATTAAATTTGTGCATTAAGCTTTCCAGTCACTCACAGCACACAGCGCACAGCTCACAGCGCTAATCGTTCCACAGTCTTCCCTTTTGAAACTTGAGTTGAAAACTTTGGGGGCGCACATTGCGCATACGCCGCGTGCGACCGCTGTTTAATGTGGCACAGCGGCACTCTGAGTGGATTTCATTGTTTAATGGGTTAATTAATAATTAGCTTAACGCCACCACAACTTCCACCAGCGATCATCAACGTTGCGTGGCACCGCAAAACGTTAAGTCAATTAGGTGCACGCGGCGTATACGCAATGCGGGTCGGCAAATGCGTTTATCGTCCGTCAGAATGGATTTTCAAACAATCAGGCGTACATAACCCCATATTCCGGAGGCATAACCGCAACCGAATGGCTGGTTGAGATACAAGTTTAAAACCAGAGTGTCTGCGGGGACTTGACTCAAACGAAAGTTTTACTTGCAGACCAAACGGTTTAATATGCAAGATAAACTTTTGAATGGAAGAACTTTTTCCAACTGCATCAATCATGGATTGTATACCCACTTTACTCGTTTGTACCTCGCTTTTATCTGTTAAACTCGTTAACAATCCCTGGCTATTTTGTCATATTTCACCAGGACATTCAACCAGCGCCCGCAAACCTAATTACGACCACAAACTGAACCGACCGCAGACGCCCCGAAAGGTCGACTATCCGGATCCGGGGCAGGCTTAAAACGCCGCAAAGTACAAAGGCAAAATACCCGCAGCACAGGCAACATGAAAATGTTATTGAGGCGTTACCCAAAAGCCGATTACATAGTGGGTGCGTGGGAACGAACGGGTCGGTTGTTGGGTGTCAACTTTGATTACAATTATGAGACGGCACTTTGAGAAGGAGTCAAGTTAATGGGGAAAGTGGGAAGTGGAGTCCTGCACTTGATCTTCGGCCTGGCTTTAATTTGTCACCCAATCTAACGATTTGTGTGGCATGAATAATTTAAGTTGAGTGTTTAATCGGGAAAAGTGGCACACATATTGGGGGAGCTGGCTTATTCAGGATTCGTGTTGGTATGGTGGCAGATGTAACATAGGGCCTAAGTGGGAATACATGTTGTTTCGTAATTAAGTCTAATTTGCCGTGATGATTTAAACTGCCTAGCGAGGCGGAAAAGGTGAAAATGGTGCGGAAAACGCACATGACAATGAGCACGGCAATAATGAAAAAGATGCTGAGATAAAAACGGCAACATGGCATAGACGAAGTCAGGGTCAGGTCCCAAATTGCCTGTCCCTGGCAGGCTAAATGAGCCTCATCCTCGGTCTCATCCTCAGTCGCATCCTCAGTAACAGCCGCAAATGTCAGGTGTGCGTTGGCTGGCTATGGTATTCCAAGGCAACGGGCATACGGCAATGACAGTGGAAGCCATTTTCTTGGGGCCGCTTTAATAGTCTGCGCCTTGACATTGAATGTCCCGGGGTTAGGTTACGCCATTACACCATTGTCGCCTCGCTGCGAGTGTTTTATGTTGGGTTCTTTAAATGCCAGCGGTGCTGAGCTTATGAAATTGCTTCAGAAACACGTACATACTTGGCCACCTCACAGGTATATTCCTCAACCGCCCCAACCTGGCCATGTACATATATATCTCATGTGGAGGCGGTGCTCACTTCATAAATTTGACAAATTATATGGCCGCCCATAAAGTAAATGCCAATGGCGGCCCCTTAAGTAGGCAACAATATTTTTATGCTCAGTTCTTATTAACATTTCTAATGTAATTACGCACGTATCTAGCATTTAACTTGGCCAACTGGCTGCGGAATTAATCTGGCACGCCCCAAATGCTCGGGAGGCGGACAAGATGAGTTCTGTGCGCTTGACACGCAAAAATGATGGAAAATATGATAAATGATGACAAATTAATGGCCGCAAAAACGAGGTAGCTACTCGCAAAAACGCTTGGTATTAAGGTGCAAACAAAAAATACAAAAAAAGGGGGAATACAAGGCAAAGTCATGTCCTTGACAGCTACAACATCCGCGATTCGTGGACAATGTGGCAGGTTACAGCTCAGGCAATTGCTCAAAAACAAAGAGAAACATAAAAGCGAATAAATGTTGTGAACAGAGCCTTTATTTTTAGCTGTAGATAGCGGGCTTTTTAAATACTTCCCTACTAAAAGCTATATGACACTTGGATATGTTTTAGCAAGAGTCATGTGGATTTAAAAACTTAAACCTCGAATTACTGACTGAATTTATTAAAAAGTCATGACAACTAAGAGAAAAAGTTTAATAGATTCAGAACTTTTAATGAACTTTGATATTAAATCAAAACGTAAGTGCTTAAACCCAGTTAGCAAGTCGAAATTTAATATTAAATGCTTAGAGTTCAAACATAAAGCCCGCATCCTTACACTCTGGCCAAGGACAATCCAACGAAATCGAAACCGTGTCTGGTAAGTAAAACCCACTTGATTCAGGGCGACAAATTAATGGAGCCAATGTCAACCAACCCAGACATATGAGCACACATGTCCAGCGGGCGGATACGGAAGAAGAAAAGGGAGAGTTGACAGGGAGGAGCTGCCACAAGGACTCACCGCAATTTCCGGTGGCGCATGACGGACACAATCACCAGCATGTTGCCCAGGATGGCGGCCAGTATGATGAAACCAATAATGAAACACTTGACGAAGACTAATGCCAGATGGCTGCTGCCGTCGGCGTCGTCGGTGGATCCCTCGCCCGCCTGGATGTCCTGTGCCTGTCCTGCGACGACATCTTCGAGGGACACGGCGATGCTGCTACCGCTGCCCACCGCACTGCCCAGTCCCTCGTCGATGAGCCCGTCGGCGATGAATTTCAAATAACGGGCATGTGAGGCGGACTCCTCCAGCACGGGCAGTCTTCCCGCCAGCGGCTCCTTTGTTCCATCGATGCTATCGATGCTGCCCTCCAATATCGTCCTGGTTGTGGTGGCCGACATGGCCTGGAGTCTCTGCAGAAGCGTCATTTTGATGGCCACAGGCGGTGCTACTTAGTTGCAGGATCCAAATGTTGTCCTAGTGCCACAGAAAAAGGACTTTCAATGGGGACGACATGCTGTCCATGTGACATTTGCTCTCATTCTGATGACCGCTATTATTGCCAATCGGTTGCCAAGTCCTGCAATTGAAAAAGAAACTCGATTTATTTGCTGCCACATTTATGAGCGCACTTTTTCAAGGGGCCACAGCAGCTTGTAAGCCAGTTTGTTGATGGTATTTTCACATTTGTATTTGCAGAATGCTTAAGTAAAGAGCAATACAAATTGTTGGCATTTATGGGAGAATTCAAGCCTGAACTGCATTCCTTTTTATTAACAGTTTGGTATTTAAGTAAATAAATATTTGAACAATTTAAGCAATACAAACTAAAGGAAAGAAAATATTTTGTAAATAGTAAATCAAACTTAATGTCTTAAAATAAATATTTGAAAGAGTTGGTAAAGCATAGGAAGGTAAATAATTCCCAAAACCCATTCATTTAGAAAACCAAATTTTTATTTTAATCAATATAAGCATCTACAATGCATAAATTTCAAAAAGTAAAGAGATATGAGTGGTATAAATATAGTATTATTTAAAAAATGATCGGAATCCATCAATCCTCATCCCATTTCTTAGCAACCAAAAATTTAAAGATAGTGCCTTAAAATGCCTTAACACTTGGTTACTTTGTAAGGAATACAAATATTAGCCCGGCTACGTGCCTGATGGATTTACACCGATTAAGATCCTTCTGAACGTCCTTTAAGTGTAGAGAGTATATCAAGTTCCCTAAACCTAGCATTCATCTCTTGACTTCTGCTTGAGATTCCGCCGACGTTTTCCTGGATTCGATATCCATTTACATTTGCATCAATTCGGCATTTGTTGTGACAGGCAAATGAACCGCAACGTGCTGGCCATTTGTCTTCTAGCCAGCTCATCCCTCTTTATATATCCGCATATCCAAGCCCCCCCAGAAATCATGGAACATGCAAATCTCGGAGCCGGCAGAACAGGCAAATTCATAGCCGGAGTTAAGCCCATAAACACCTTGTGGCTCTGATGGCACACTGTATGGGTGGGTATATAAATTCCGTTGGCCGCAGGCTTGGGCAGACAATGAAATTGAAACCCTGTCGAGGCAGGGAAACACTTGCTGGCGTCGTTGTAGTGCGCAAAACGTAATCCCACTCAATTGGTTTAATTTACCATAAACAGCTTCAATTTCTGAGCCGTGGGAGGAAATTTCCGTTTGGGCCCCGTCGAAATTTAGCTTCCTTCCTTTTCTGCAATGACACCAGCTGCTGCCTGCCTGAAATTCCAACTCATTCCAACCATACGATGGCAGCTGCTCGCTGTATCTCTGAATTCTGGCCATATTTCAGCATCAGCAGAGGCTTATCATTAGCAAATGTCAATTTTCAAATTATGTACATTTATTTTGCAATTTGCTTGCCTGGTAATCGATGCTAGTCCCCTTCCCCACTTGATTCACATTGCCTTGGGGCCACACACTTTCCCATTTGCCTTTCAAATGGGGGGCAGTAGGTACTTCCATTTTCTCCTTTTCCCTTTGGAGTAGGCAAACATTTTGGGGGGAGCGGAACGTGTAATTCCCATGTCGAGCAAACTAAGTAAACTCCGGCTAACAAATACGAGTGTCAGCAGAGGAATCGTGTTTATTTGCGTGTGCCATATAGGTGTATATATAGTATACATGTTGGGTCCTTTCAACTGCCGCACCTTCGGGGAAATGAGTTTCATGTGGTTTGTGTGCGACCGACACTCGCCAACAAAGCGACCGCGACTGAAGTGAACTTTAAATCAATAAGGGACAACAAATTGAAAAGGCTCGTACTCGCAGGTCGCGCCCCACCCGCACTTTTCCAATTTTCCCCACCAAGTGCTTTTGTCAAACGCATTGACAATGCCCCACAACAATGCCAAGTCGGATTCCCGGGTCTCAGCTTTTGTCTGGCTGGGAAATCGAGGGAGTGGAAGCTGGGGATCCATCACAATACATCATTCACAGCCGGTGTCGTCTGTATCAACGGTTATATTTTAATATATGTATCTACATTTTCGGTAAGCCAGCATCTTTACCTTTTTTCTGGGACTCCTGCCGTCATTTGACCTTTCAAAGTTATCATACAGTGGATGTGGATGCAAATGGGAGAGAAACACACACAGGACATCATATATATATATTATATGAATCCCCAAAAAAAGCTATCAATTCAATTGAAGTTTAAATCAATCAACGCAATCAATACGAACATCAAATAAAATCTGTGGGATATTTTTGGCAGTATAATATTTCAGCCAGCGTCCACTGTTTGAAAATTGGCTGGATGGTCGGTGGGTTTTGGGTGGGTTGGTTGGTTTTGTTAGGTTGGCTGGGTTGTTTTGGGATGGGTCCTCGCCAGGACATGCTTCACTCGCATTGTGAATGAGTGTGATTTATTTCGTTTTTGGCCTGCTCCATTGTGCCAGTGCAGTCATCTCGGGGACTTAAGAGCAACTTTGGCTTGTTAGTTATTTATTCTAACTTATTCTCTGCGTATTTGAATTTGCCTCTGTTTATTTACAGCTGAGCGACTTGGGCCAAGCCACAAGCGTTGATGTTTGCTTTTGGCCCACAGAAAGCCAAAAGAAAAATTTAATTTGGAATCTTTCATTTGTTTGGCTACGGATTTGGTTTGGGTTTCTGTGGTTTTGGGCTCGTCTGCGGCTCCCAGATTGATGGTCAGCCTTAATTACTTTTCGAAGAGCGTTTTGGTCCGCTTGCCATGGCTCTTAATTAATTTTTAATTTATGCAAAGAACCGGGAAATCTTCCAAGGGGCTCTTTATTTTTTTCATCCCTTTCGCTAATCGATTTAGACTTAATCCCGAAGATGCCACTTAAGCACACGCAGTGCCCTCTAATTGAGTGACCAAATCGAGAGCAAGTCATTTATCATTGGAGGAATTACAAGCAGGGCCGGCGGGCTCATAAATATGTCCCTCGAAAAGCGATTTAATTGAGTGCTAAAAAGCTTCGAGACAAAGGCGGCCCGAGGAAATGAAATCAGGCTGAAACGCTTGTCATCCCAAGAACAAATCGAATCCAAACGGAAAACGAATCGAACGGCAGCGAATCGAAACTAATTGGACGCCTGGAAATATGCAAAGATAAATCGACGGCGGTCAGCCGAGAAAAAGTTGTGGTTTGGGGTGGTCACCAAAGGAAAAACAAAGCTAACTTTGTTGCGTTTATGTTGGCCATTTGCTAAATCAAACAACAGAGAGAGCGAGAAATAAAAATGAAAAGAAAAACTTGTATATATCTGCATTAAGGAGCCGCCAGCAGAGACCCCCTAAGGCAATCAGGCTGACAAGGCGGAAGTAAAAGTTCAATTATTCATCTGGCCATGCCCCCTGGACTCCGCCCCCACCACCTCGATTGCGGCCCACACAGATACGCAGATACACAGATACATATTCATATGCTGGCCATCATCGGACTTGGCCTTGTTCGCATTTACATTTTAAATTGCAGTATTACGAGCTCTATTTGCACTGCTCCCCAAGCCCCGAACATCGCGTTGCCCATTTTCAAGCAGCATTCTTTATACAGGCACTACGCAAAAATACCCAAAAATAAGATATGGATTATCTCATCAAAATGTTATAAATGGAATTTGGTAAATACTCAGGATGGGTATTTAAAAGTAAGATACGAAAATAACAAAACTTTTAGAACAGGGAATTCTTTGCGCAGGCACTTAGAATAAATATTCTAAAATAATATGAGGATTAACTCATCGAAGTATAACAATTCGAATTTTTTAATGGAAATGGATATGGGTATTTGAAGATAAGATCCAAAGCCAACAAACAATATACATACAATTTAATCACTTAGAAAAAATATTCTGCAATAATCATTAAAATGTTATAATGGAAATATGATAAATTCTTACTCTAAATCATCCAAATTTGAAAGTAACATTTACCATCGAGTCACTCAAAGGCATTTTCATGGGTTATTTTAGAACTCCTTTTTTCCCCCAGTGTCTGTATATTTGGTTTACATTATTCGCACACACAAACGCACACCTTAGCTGAAAATAGATGAGCATTTTAGTTGGCATTTTTCAGGTCTGCATTTTTGGGGCCTGACGGCAGGAGCGTTGACAACCAGCCAACGACAACGACAACGACAGCGTGTCCTGCGGCTCCTGTGGCCTTTCATCGTTTGGAGTGGTGCCGGGCTGAATAATGAACTGCATAATTCGAGCAGCATTTTGGAAATATTTACAAAATAAACATAGTCAGGGAGAAAACAGGCCATACATATTTCATGTTTCGTATAAATTACAATGCAAAATAAACGTTTGAATGGAAAATGTCATCGGTAACCATTTATGGAAAAGGCCAATATGGAATTAATTAACGTATTAATTATTTACAATGGCTTTGCAAAAGCCATCCATTGCACAGCCAACGTTTAAATTGATTAGCTCGTGACCACAATGAAATTGAAATAGAGGAATGTTCCGTTTTACCTGATGGTAGGTGTTCTATGTATTTTATCTATTTTCGCTGCGAAGCTGCTAATTAAATTGCATTCTCGTCTGCCGGAAAATGGGTCAGACATTAAGAAAGTTAAAAAAAAGGACTAGCCATAGCCCCGGGCACTGAAAACTCACAATGGCCAGCCGGTGTAGGGAAGCTGGGCCCATAAAAGTGGCGGTTATGCAATTTTTAATTAATTTCGCTGGCTGCGGCGGCCACTGCTGATGATACTTTCCGCCCAGGCCCACACATGTGCAGGGTTTTATCTTACACACAACCCACAACTATGTGTGATCCCAGTCCCATTCCCGCGGTAGAATGGTAGAACCATGGCCCCGGAGCTGTTGAATATTTCACTATATTTGCACGTTGAGCGTCGCGTCTCGTCGTGGAACTGGCTCCATGGATCCATGATGCATGTCGTT